CGAGCGCCCTCCTGGGCACCCCAGCTCTGATCACTGCCGGAAGGGTGGCCGTGCGGACTCTGCCCCGGCCCCACGCCACTCCCTTCCTAAAGCTTTTCAGCCCTGGTGTCTTCGCCGGCCCGGCCACATGGGGTTAGACTTGGAGCGACTGCCCCAGGGTCCCTCATTGGCAAAGCTGGACAGCGACTCTCCAGTGGGAGGGTGGCAGCCCCTCCCCCCCTTCGATTTCCCTCTTGGTGTGGAGGGCTGCTGCCAGCTGGGTCCTTCTTGTTACAGGGCCCTTCCACTCCGCCCCTCCAACCCAAGGGTGGGAGCAAACTGGGGGCGGGATGCCCTTGGCTGTCTTGGTGGTTCATTCTGCTAACTGGGTTCCCTTGAGTGCTGGCAGACACCCCTCTGGTTAGGTGAGCTGTGGACCTGTAAGAAAGGGTGCTGGGAGCAGGGCTGGGTCTACCTGTCCTGTGTAGGCAGGCCGCTTGCAGCCTGAAGGTCTGATTGGGAAAAAGTGGGGCATGGGAGCGGCCTGGGCGCCTGCCATCCTCTCCAGGTTGGCGTGTAGAGCCAGCCACAGGCGAGATCTGGAGCCCACTGGGATCCTCCTGCCAAGGGGGTCTTATGGGCCACTTTGGTGGTGGGTGCATTTTCTTCCTGACAGCCTATTTTGGAACGGGGGGGGGGGGGCGGGGGGGGAGACCATGAAGGGCTCCTCATCTTACGGGAAACAGTCATTCTGGCTGTAGCCATCTCAGGGTGATAGGCCAGAGGGAGGCGGGGACAGTGTGGGGACTGGAGGCTGGAGACAGGATGGTGCCAGGTGCACTGTGGCTGGCCAGGCCTGGTGACTCGTGGGCACATAGCCTCACCCACTGTATACATGGGGCTGTTGTCCGCTCCCTCACCAGATACCGCACCTTTGGTACCACCCTGACCTGGATCCTTCCACACCCTCCTGGCTGGGGGCACTGGACACACCTGAGCTCTGCTTTCCCCTCCACAGACCTCCCCTCTGCTCTCACTGGGCGAAGCTGTGACCCTGTCTGGGGAGTCTCCCTAGTGTCCACAGAGACCAGCTCTCACTGCCCCTGGTCCCCTCTATGCCGCCTGTATCGTGGGTGCAGTGGCTGAGCAGTAGGATTGGGGTGTTTGGAATGGATCAGGTTTGGATGGATCACTAGAGCAGGTGTCTAGGAGGCATGAGCAGGGAGGTGAGGCCAGCTTGGCCAAGAATGGAGAGCCCTTCTGTGGACAGGTGTTGATGCGGTCTTCAGATCAGGCCAGCAGTGGAGTGGGACTCCCCGTTCACACACCTGGGGTCTGGATGGTGAGCCCAGTTGCTCACTGCCTGCTCCAGCCTGCGGGCGCTGGCGTGGCCTTGCCTCTCTCCTCCCAGGACAGGTCACAGACCTTGGGCCGCTGGTGTCCTTGCGGCGGTCTGCGTGCATGCCAGAGCCTCCTATCGCAGCAGCATTCCTTTGTGGCAACAGCACAGTCAGGACTCACTGAGCCTTGTTTATTTTGTGATTGATTTTATTTTTTGCTGTTGTTGAAAATACAGCAAACACAACAGCCAGAGCCGCTGCTTGTGGATGTCAGGGGCGCTGGTGACAGGCAGCCTCCACCCCCTCCTCGGAGCGCTTCCTTCAGGAACGTGGCCTTGCGTGGTTTCCACCTAACTTTCCCAGCTGCATGGGTGACATGTCTCCACATAGTTCTTACAGCAGCACTGAGCTCGAGGCAGCCTGTCTAACTAAAGTGTTGTCTGGTTTTGTGAAACTGCCAGGGGGTGTTTTTCATATAAGCTTTGAAGACGATCTCTGTCCTTCAGGTGCCAGAAGTCCTGAAGTCCATGGAAAATCTATAGTCCGGTTCTGTACGTGTACCCCTTTGGTCAGCACTTTATCAATCTGAGGTCAAATGTCCCTGTCCTGCTGCCTCCTCTCCCTGCTGCTCCAGGCAGACAGGGCCATGGATGTTGCTTAACAAACACTCGGCACGGTGCTGTGACACCTACTGTGAGACCAGGGCTCTCGCTACCCTTCGGCCAGGGGCCCACATTCTGAGCGGTTATTTGTGCCTGCAGCACGCAGCAGCGCCCTTGTTTGATCCTCATCGCTGTAGGGCACTCCCAACTCTGCATTGGCTAAGTCAGCATCCTACAGTGTACAACTGACATAGTGTGATTCCTTCATCCACTGAGTGGACACTTGGCACTCCTGGGTTCTGGCGCGCGTGCGCACTGGCCGCCGTGCCTTGGGCGTGCGCGCCGCGGCGCAAGGGCTGCTGGTCCGGGCGATTCCGCTGGAACCAGGCGAGCGCCGCGGCCGAAACATGTGGCGACCGGTGAGAGCCCTCTGTGCCGCGCCCACCCCGCTGACGCTGCCGTCAGCAGCCCTCGGGCTCGCAGATTGCGCCCCGCGTCTGCAGGGACCCCAGAGACCCCGTCAGGGACCTGGTCCTCGCGGCCCCGAGTTCCCTCGCAGACTCGCTGCTGTGAGCCGTGGGCACCTCGCAGCCCGCAGCCCTCCCCGCGGCAGCTGCTGCTCTTTGCCCTCCCCAGGCCCCTGGCT